TTTTTTTTTTTTTTTGTAAAATTTTATACAAATTAATAATAATTCTATCCAATCATAAATTTCTAAAAAAATCTGAAAATTAATAATAATTCACAACATTTTTTTATTTTGTAAATATGTTGACATAATTCTTAAAATTTGCTTTTGCAATGTATATTTTATGTATGTAATTAAAATTAGTTTTTTTTTTATATACATATACAAAGTATCTGATAATTGGTATTATGATAAAAAAGTAAGTAATTTTATATATAAAAATAAGACGATTTAATTTATATATAAAATCATTTTCTTTCAGATCGCCAATTATCAAACATTTTATTTATATATAATATATTGTATATTCGTTTGTTTTATCATTTGTTTCCTAATCAATAAATAATTATAATTACCTACAAAACATTCATTATCTTATCTAAGGAACTTATAAAAACTAATACACTCTCTCTATCCTTCTTTTTATTATAAATAAGTAATATAAATTAGTTGTTTTACAGAAGGAGGAAAATCTTACATAATGTGCAAGTTATGTATAATAAATAAAAACACCAGAATGAATCAAAGACATTTGTAATTATTGCTACACCTATTCTATAAAAATGTTACTCTATAATAAAAAAATTCAAATAAAGAATTATGTATTAATATCGCTTCTGTTCATTCGCGCAAGTCTAAAGCAAAGTGTTTTGCCGTACGGTAACTATGACTACGCTTAAGAAGGGACACCAATAATACGTGTCAAACCTTTATTGCAAAGAAATTCGCAAAAAATCAATTAAACGTGCTAAAAAAAATTTTCCGCATCACACCAAAATGAACGATAAAGATGATAGCGCTTGGGTCTTCGACTCTTTGATTGGTTTTCTTCAAGGTCCTATTTGGTCTACGCCTCTCATTACTTTCATTGAAGAGAAATCGCTCAGTAAGTTGAAATATTTATGCAATAAGTCATTTTATATCATCTATATTAATATTTATTTCTTCCTTAAGATTTTCTTGAAAATTCTCTTGAAGATGACATTATTCTTTCTATTAATTCTAGATTTATGGAAAATTACAAAAAAAGATGTTACTATTTTATTCAAACATTATACGATAAACGAATCTTTTAATTTTTCAAAAACGTTATCTTATACTTCAATCGATTTTTTTTTGTTTTGTTTTTTCACAGTATTCGAAGCGGATATCGAGGAAAATGATGAGTATCAAAAGATATATCAAGAGTACAAAAATCTGGTGGATTTATTGCTTGGTTGTTTTATGGAAGACATGGGAATCACTCCAGAACAATTTGAGTACGCTTGTACCGTAAATAAATATACAAAAATGCCTATACAATTCCAACAGGCGAGTTGAAAAGATTTCTTAAATAGAAGTTAGAAAAATATAAAACATGTATTGATTTTGATACTTATTTCAGAATTTGTTTGAACAAATATGGGCTGCGAACGAGTATGAGATATTCAAGAGAATGATGATACAGAAGAACCTGGAACTTCAACTACAAGCTTTGAATATGATCGAGCAAAAGTATGGCCTCACACCTGTATCCTTGATGTACGAAACGGATATATCAAACGAAGATCCTCTAGTCATGGAAGAATTAATTCAGTAAGTCTTGTTATCTTCATATATAAGAATAAAATAAATCAAATAATTATATATAATTAAAATGTTGTAATTGACTTAAAATTATCGGGACAAAAATATATAGGAAACATGTACTGGAAAATGATTCGAAAGATCAAAATATATCCTCAGAAACTTCGCTCATCAGAGAACACGAATGTTTGATAGCTAAATATAATAATGAAAGGATATTGTTATCAGAAGCTTTAAAAATATTACAAGAAAAAAAGGAAGATTCATCATCTTTTAAAGTAAAAGAAGAAGAAGCAAAAAAAAGAGAAATTAAAATAAAAAAAGAAAAAGAGGAAGACGAGGAAGATAAAGAGAAAGAAAAAGATACTCATAGATTTCCTAAAGCGCTTCCTTTAGATTCTATATCTACAAATGAATCAAAATCAAACGAACAAAATGTATTTATAATAATATTAATTATTTATATAGAAACAAATAAATCAATTCATTATGCTATTTATTATATTAATTTTTTAGATATCAGAAGAAGATATAAAAAAGAGACAGGTTTACTTGAAAGCTAGACGCGATAAATTGATAGCATTAAAAAAAGAAGCAAGAAGTCAACGATTGGAAATGAATTCAACGAGACCGAGTTCCGCAAGGACAATAGCGGAAGCAACAATCAAAGGGGAGCAAGAATTAAAATTACCAGAACCTCTAGATCCATCCATATTGCAAGTACGCAAAGCACTCGCAGCTCGTCTTCAAACTGAGGTAGTGCGTAAGCAAACGAATTAATGATAATGATTCTTATAAAATGAAAAAAATCAGAATATTAATATTTTATCGCGGTAAGAATATTTTTTCGAGAAATATCATATACAGCGATTAAATTACACTTTTTTGTAGACATTTTGCATAAAAACAGCAAAAAAGTTTGTAAGATAACATTCACAAACTTTGAATTAAGATGATTAATCTAAATAACAAAATGATTTATAATTACGCCTAAAACAAAACGAGTATAGTTTTTTTTTTTTTTTTGTATACAATTTCAAGTATTACATCGATTTATTTTACCTTTGAATTGAAATAAGTCTGATTTAGGATCATTACAGTTTGCACATAAGTATATATTTCCGCTTATGAATACCGACAAAATGATAAATAGTTTTTTAAGGTCACTTGCATTATTTTCTCTTACTCATTCGATGCGTTTCTCATGATTATAATCATTGATATTAATTTTATTCATGAGAGAAATTGAATAAAATACAAAAAAAAAAGAATAAAAAGAAAAAGCATACAATCTTTCTATAACAATTTGCATAAATCTTCAAGACAAGTGATATAAATAAATAAAAAATAAAAAAAACATAGTTTCTCGTTTTTTATATATTTTTCATATTTTATAGAAAATTAACATCTGTAAATATTTTAATTTTTATGTTTGTTTTTTTTATGTATAATTAATTCTTCAAATGAAATTATATTTTTTATTTGATCGATGTAAAGAGAAGAGAATGCGAAGATAATATAAAAGTTGTGTAATACACAGCTTTTAATAAATGCTTTCAGAAAATTATAAATACGCTGTAAAATTTGTTTTACATATAATTATCTAATAGTATAAATTGTATAAATCACAATTAGAAGATAAATAGAACTGAAAATCAATGATCATTATATTTATACAAAGAAATATCCTTTCTTCTTCTTATTCTTTGTGAATAAACATTGAGGTAAGTTATGATTCTGATTATTGATCAGTTCTTTTAATTTTAGATTTTATTTAATTATTCTCCGCAGTTCTACAACATACTTTTATTCTGTGTAACACACAATTATCATTCTCACTTCTTTCCTCTTTTAGTTATATAATTATATAGACAAACTGATTTCGTGACAAAATACGAGTATTCTTTAATTTAAATAATAATATAATAATGTAAATTTTATATTTGTAAAACAAAATCAAAATCAAAATACTTATGAAATTTAAAATTCTTTATGCATCTTGTTTATATTATATTGTTTAAAATTATATATATAATAATATATATAATTTTTTAAATTGATTACTAATTAAAATATATAAAATATAAGAATTTTCACTAGTCGCTTTTCACCATGAATTCAACAATTCGAATTTCTTGCTCATCTAATCAATTATTATTTATACTTCTCTAGAATAAAATGCAAAATATTTCTTTTCCACGGTTTTCCATTTAATTATTATCATACTATACATAAATCAAAGTTTTTAATAAATAACTACAGATATCCTTTTTTTTTTTTGTTTGCTCTAAATTCAAATGGTTTTTTTTAATTTTTTTCGAATATCTTCTTATATAAAAAGATGTCTTTCTCTCTG